CAATTGACAAATGTGGCAAAGAGAAAGCAAAGCTACATAAAATAAACCCCAAAAAAAAGGCAATTTCTCCACAATAACGACAAAAAGGAGCATAGAGTTTACGGTAAATTGCGCGCGAACAAAACAAACCGCAACACAAGCTAAGCCATAATCCTTTCGCAGGAACAACAAATTGCCACTCAAAAGGTGCAAAATTGTCGGAAAACATTGGACGCTGTATCGTGCTGCGCGCACGCGCTGACTTATTGGCCGGAGCAGCTGCACAGGAGCTGCGCAGGACTCGGACCAGGGGTCGCTCCATGGTCGTCTGTGGTTGTCGCTGTCCACCAAATTGAATTCGTCAATGATTTCTGCTGCTGCGCCACGTGGAAAATTGCATTTAATTATTGACCGGCGGCACTCGGCCTTTATAATTACACAAGAGAACAACAAATGCGATTAACTGGACAAACAAAGCGCGAAAGTATTAAAGGCCGCTCCGCAGGACACTGGAAAGGGTCGACCATCACCAACACACACACCACTCAGTTTTCAGTACAGAATTCACGCCTCGCTACACAAAAGCGCTGTAAATTATTTCGTTAAACTCATGACCAGCGGTCAGTCCAGCGCCGAATGCCGTTCAATAATTGGGCAACTGAAACAAAGGTCCTTAATCAAGCAATGCGAACGGTCCTTTTCCATTCTATAACCATTCCCGACCGGAGCGAGGGGTGTGGCAATTATTAGTTGCTGTCATACTTGTATGTGTGTTTGTCTAGGATGCTGTGCAATTGTAGAGCAGTACATGACAGCACATAATCATAAATATTGTAACTAAATTATCAATTGGACTGCTGCGTTCGCATCTACACTGAGCGAAAAACCAATTGGGCCAACATGATGTTTAGTCATGAAATGAAGTACATTTTCGTGCTTCTCGTTGACATATCTGTTCGCCTTTTATTCCTTGTTTTATTCTCCATTTATATATTACTGTTCTATTGATGGCTGGATTATGAAAAATTTTTATGTTTTAATACACTTTTTACACGATTTTGTTATAACACGGTTTGAAAATGAAAAATTGCATATATATTTCTTTAGAGATGTGGAACTAATCACTTATTTTTGTTGGTTCTGGAACCAATCTACGGTGTAAAAACAGAATTAGGTGTATGTTTTTTTTAAATTCTTTTTTTTTAATTTTAAAAACAAATACTAGCACCAAACTGTAGGGCCATCTATACTTTAAACTTTTGAAATGCTAACCTTTTCAGTGTAAGCGAAGGCGCTCGTTTTTTTCGAGTTACTAAAGAGCAATAAAATTTAAAAATATTGAAACATGCCCCATTAAGACCTCATTGTAAAACTAATAAATTTTAAAGCAATTACTATTTCGGTAGAGCAGCAAAGTATTAACTACGTATTCAATTTGTTTTGTCCACAAAGTAGAACTGTTATTTGAATTCAATTTTGGAAAACTAATAATTTCGCATATTTTGAAATATGTCCGAACTACGATAGCGATTACATTATTCCGAAAAGCGATCGAATTCGCAATTTCCTGAAAATCACAAGTACCTTTGGGCCATAGCTACACAGTAGCCCTGAAATGGAAGACAAACATGTCTTTAAGCCTTGGAAATAATGTCTCAGGCAGTAAAGTATTTTAATTAAAATTAGAGGCGCACAACGCTCGTGGTTCTAAGATTTTAAACTAACAAAACTATATTCTCTTGACTGGACACAGACACTACAATTATAAACTCTCGCAGGCGAACAAGAATTATTTCTTTACTCAAATCACTGTAATAACCTGAACCCCAAAAAAAAAATCCTGTTTTATATGCGTTGTTAGAAGAAAAAGAACCTGTTAATCGGTAATTCGCTTTTTTTTACACCTAATTCAATCGGGAACTTTAAAATGTTCCCGCAAGTCAACATTTTTGGGTATTAACATGAGATAGCCATTAAAAGATGTATCAGTTATTATTATGATTATCTGCCCGTTTTTCATATGGAACCGGTGTATTATGAGCCTAAGTATCCTAACCATATTTATTTGTAATAATATCAATTTCAATCAATAATCCAGTTCTCGACAATTTCGCAAAGCTGAACCATTGAAGATGAATAGTTAAAACACCGAAATCTCCAGCCTCAAAATGATGTTCCACATCAGACATTTTTTACCATATACCTGTATACTCCACTGACTGATTCAATCAAGATACGAATCAAAAAGGTAATAGCTTGTTTCGTTTTGATTTAATTTAATTTTTCTTTAGCATTCACTAGTTGGTTGTCAAAATTCGTCTTTTTAAACACTGGATGGTCCAAAAGACGGAGGAAATGTTTTATCCCCAGATAGAGTCGGGACCGCTTAGCTGCTTCCCTTCACGTAGAGAATTGGTAATTGTTAGATCACATTTTCAAACGTACCACTACCACGATTTTTTCTCAGTGCACTGGCTGCTATGTGTCTCCCCCTACGATTTCAATGCATTGTACACCACAATTGCAACACGTCGCGCATGCGTCGCTGCCGGCGTTGCAGTTGCTGGCGCTGGCGCTGGCACTGGCACTGTCTCCGCCTCTGCCACAGCCACCAGCGGTGTCGACAGAGCTTAACACACTGCCACCGCCAATCTTGATGCATGTTTAGTTGGCTCATTGAGCGGAACTGCTCAAATAGTAAGACGCTTTGGGTGATTTTCTTATGCACACGCCGAAGCTGCCAGAGCAGGCTAAATAATTGCATAACAAATGGCCTGCCATATTCTTGGCTCGTTTCAGTTTATGATTATATAATGGCGGGGATTGGGATTGGCATTGAGGCCGGGGCTGGGGCTGGAGCTGTCCGATGCTGCTACTGCCTGTTGCTGTTGCCTCCTATATAGAACAAAGCCATTTGTTATGGCTTAGCACAGAAATGGGGCTAATTGGACGTGAGCAAACGTGTTCGGTTGCTGTTGGCTTAGTGTTGTCGGTAAAAGTGTTGAACAGACCCGAGAATCTTAATAACTGGGCAGTGCTAGTGAATGAAGTGGAGACGCATGGCAACAAATTGGTCCAACTTAACCCATTCAGAGCCAAAAGATACTTTCCCAATATAATTTGTACCCAAAAAACAATATTTGGCATTTTTTCAATAACAATAAATAATAAATACAAAGACAGAAAAAAATATTATTAATTTAAAATTGTATTTTCTCCAATACAGAGAGACTTTAACAAAAAAAAGAAATTGATAGTAGTTGTACAGTTTTTACTTCTTTAAAAGTGCAGCCTTAACAAGATTCTTTAAAAATGCTTCAAAATGTAAAAGTTAATTTATTTTTAAAATCAACTAATCATCATTTTATAACCTCATTTTTGATCAAGTTTTCGCCCAATATTGTTGGATATTCAAAGCATCTACACCTAATTCTGTTATTACACGGTAGATTGGTTCCAGAAAAAGTCGTGATAATATATTATTTTAAATCATGTTAAATGGGATAAGGTCGTGCAACCATGTATACAATTTTTAATTTTCAAACCGTCTTTTTTTTTGTTAAAACCGTTTAAAAAAAAGACCGTGTAAAAACAAGTAAGTAAGTATTTCAACAACTGTGCCGTACAATGTAACCAACAAAAGCCAATCACAGCTGTTCGGAAAAAAATCAAATCTTAAACAATAGTAAAAACTAGTCGTCCTGTATTAAAGTTTTGGTACACTGTAAGCAGAATGGAATCTAAAACCGCTAACAGCAAGGCATCTATTCTTTTTGGCATTATTAGTTGTATTTATTTCCAGTGTTCTCCCTTCCAGAATAACAAACTGGCAATGCTAATATACTTAGTATGTATTAGTAAAATAAAGTCTACTAATAAACTGATCGTCATTGAAAATGTTACAGATTGCTGTTCGCAAACGTCAACACAAGTCTCAAGGGGTTAAAGCATTCCAAGAAAAACACTTACTGCGCTTCATAAAAATGAATTGCCATCTCATCAACAGCTTCCTTTTTCGTTGCGGAACAACAAATTAACGCGTAATACACACAATCGCGGCCAATAAAACACTTTGAACGCACACTTTGTTGACAACGCCAGAATTTCCCGTTAAATCAATTTTCGCACTTCGCCCTACACTTTGCACTGCATATTATTAAATAGTTTTAATTCAATTAAAGCACAATCTGCAATCCGTTCTTTGCTAATTGCTGCATAACTAATTGCGACACTGTTGCATTTTGTAATAGGAATGTAAGAAAATTATCGATGTGTATCGCGGAATCATCGACGTTTACCCGAACATCGAACAATAATTATGTAAGGTAATTGTGATCATTCCATTTTTTATGTTTTTTCAAATTGTATTTATTATGGTATATGTATGTATGTATATTTAATATTATTAAACATGGAATTTGTTTATGCGGTAAGCACTGCACCTGACGAACTCAAAATTATTACATTAGTCGCCAACTATCTAGTTCTCGATTCAGAAATGTTTGCCAGCTAAATCAATTCGTGAAAAGTTTTTTTTTATTTTACATTTTTCACAGCTGCTTTCAGTGGACCTTCAAATTTTTATTTGCTAAAAGCAATCTTATACGCCGTTATTATTTATGAAAATAGCTCATTTATATTATTTTTGTGCTTATATTCATTCACATTTCCTTCACCTTTATGTTTAGATTAGTTTCTATTAACTGTAAATAGAATTTACCTCTCTATCTAATAGTGCTGGTAAGTACCAGTTACGTTATGCGGCAGTGCTTTATCGCACGAACACATGACCAATCAACACTATTCTTATAGCAGACAGCTTTTGTTTGCGTGCATCGGCAAGCGATACACTCTCACTACTGTGGCACTCACGCGATGACGATAACAGTCATCATTCCAGGGCTGCAGAAATATTTCTCTGTAAACGCGCGCAGTTTGAATTTGAACAAGGGAAAACATAGCAATGCTTGTATAAACGAATTTCAGTATTTCCGTCCTATTCGAAATAAGTAAAACTCACATTCTTCTAGTTATTTTTTATTTGCATTGAACACTCAACTTGCTTAAAGACTTTATTTATTTATTCCGATTTATTGCATTTGTTCATATGTGTATGCCAACATTATTGCAGTATCGATCGTATTTCTCTTTTAAATCTTTATTATATGCTATGTTTCTAGTACAGTGGTTTTTTGTTGTTCTTGTTCATGTTGTTGTTGCTTGGCTTTGCTTTGTTGTGCTTACAACTAATTAATAATTAAATATTTATTTTTATTTGAAAATTCTATGATAATTCATCATCAAGTTGTTCTTGTTGTTGTTGTTATTGTTGTTTGGTTGTACAGATTAGGATTAAATTGATATTTTAAATATGTGAATGAAAACGTATTTGAAATTTGTCTGAGAGTTCTTTTGGTATTTTTTCACAAACTTTTTGATTGGCAACTTTTTTGTATTAAATGCAGTTCTCATATTACGTGTTGTAGTAGTAGTTGTTGTTGTTGTTGGGAAAAGACGCAACTATTATAGGTGTTGTGTGGGTGTGTATGCCTGTGTGTGTGTGAGTCAATAGTTGTGTTTAAAAGCGCATTTTGCATATACATATTTAATTTATTAATTATATTCATCTATATTTATAATATGTATGTATGTTTATAATTAATTTGCATTATTGTTAGTACCGCTCTTTAGTTAAGGTTTTTAATATATTGCATATTGCCTTTTTGCCTTGCATAAACGTTACTTTATATTTGTGACTCGCAAAAACAGTGTTGTAAATTACAAAAATATATATGTATGTCGTATTGCATTGTATTGTTTGTGTGGTTGTGGTTGTGGTTCTTGTTATTGTTGTTTTCAAAACTTAAACACTAATCTAAAAAGAGCAAATTATTGATATTTGAAAGTATTTTTAACATTTCTCAACATGTATTTATATTATATATTATAGCATTATAATATAAAAGGTACGAAAGGCGCGAGCAATTCCGCAAGTGGGCCATAAAACAATTTCAAGTTCTCTTTTGGCCACGCGGAATTTACACTAAAAATTGACTTAATTGTGAAACGAAAAAAAAACAATAAATTGTTCATAAACTTAAGTTAAACACTTCGTGTGTATATGTTTTATAGTGTAGTAGTGTAGTGTGTAGTATTAAAAAAGTTGAAATTAAATTTAATAAAATTCGGCACGACCTAGCATGGAGGCGAAGCGAAAGACCCGCATCCAGCTAAAGAGCTTCGACTCCAGGATGTTCTCCTCCGCCGTCGATGTCGTCATGCTGACGCGTGACGAGTTGGAGGACTTGCTGCTTCTCTTCTGCTGCATAATGCGTGGCGAACTCATCTTCATAATCGAGTAAGTAATTTTGACGGCTGGGGGGCACACGCCTTTCGGGCGTTGCGACGGGCACAAGCGTGGAAAGTTTTGGGAAACTGCAAAGGACATGAAATGGTAAACAAATTATAATACGAACTGAGATAAATTTAATAATATTTGAGTTTTTATACAGCTAAGCTTTTAATAATTGAGCCGAGAATGCTCGAATTTTAAACTGCCTCTATAACTAAATACTCTTAATATTTAATGTATTTAAAACATATGTACTTTTGAAACGTTTTTAGAAAAGCTTTAGAGGATTTCTTTAACGTCTCAATTCAACATGTTGATATATTTGAGTGCATTCAGCTTAGAGCTTTAAAATTAAATCTTGAAATTGTAAAAATAAATAATAAAATAAAATAACAATCCACAGTTGGCGAAAAAACGAGGAGTAAACAGTTGGTAACCCAAAAACTCCAATTCTATATTCCATATTTTTGAATGAGTTATATAATAAGAGAGTCTTTTAAAGCTTCGGCATGAATTTAAATTGTTTTATCAAAAACCCCTTGAAGATTCGCTTGAAATATTATTACTACTATTAGCTTGAATATCTGCAGTAGTAAGCACGATTGGGACAGCTCGTTATCAGTTGATGTGCCGTAAAAAATGTAACTGTACACATATGCATATGTATGTAAATATATAAATATGTATATTCGTATATCTTCTTAATGTCCGCCCATAAAACACGCCCACAAAACTACAACAGCCGGCCCTTTTATTGTCAGCACTATGGTCCAGGCATTGACAATCGTGCTGACATCTAAAAGAGCAGCAACAAAACAAATGGACACGAGATAAAGTTAAAGTTGCCTATCAATGGCACTCAGCAGTTTGTTGTCGGCTCTAGTGTCTCGTTCTCTCTCGAGACCCCCTAGAGTCAAGTACCGGTGGCAGTTCTCGACTATGCGGCAACCCCTTGGCTAGCTGCCTTTTGACTGTCCCCCAATGCTGCACAAATCGAAACTGCTGAGCTGTGCAAAGCCCCAAAAGTCGGCCAGACAAAGTTTTTGGCGTATTGATTTACTAAGCCCAGAGCCATAGAGAAAGAGAGTGAGAGAGGCAACAAGAACAACACCAATAGCTACAAAAACCATTTGCTCACCGCCGACCTTCGCTGTGCCAAATCAAACATCATGTAACAGTTTCCCATAACCGGAGCTAACCAGATGAATGCGCCTCAATGACAAACTTAACGGTTCGTTAGATAACAGCAGCAGACTGACATTTATGGAACATATGTATGTACATATGTATGATGTATGTATAGTATGTCAGTAAACAAATAAAATGTAAAAGCTACACTACAAGAATTTTAACTGTTTTTTACTAAATTAAAAGTCTTTCTTGTTGAATCAGCGTTATTTCCATACATACATACTTGTACATATATGGACTGAGAGGTCTTTGAACTTGAATGCTCGTGCATTCCTATTTTAAATTAAAATGATGAATTACGGAAATATGAAATTACTATAAAAGCATTGATTGACTTGAATAAAACATAAAAAGTTTATTAAAAGGAAATCTTAAAACATAAACAATTTGTTTAAGTCTCTTTCCATTTCAGTCTAGCGTTGGCTTTGTTTATGCTTGTTTCTTAATAAATTTTGAAGCATACGAGTACATATGTATGTATATTTAAATTACTGGAGTCAAGAAACAACCTAAGAACTGGTTGAATCCATCCGACTGAAAGCTGTAATATCCCATTGTAGTATAAGTAACTACACATCTAAATAATGGCTTACCGATTACATCAAATAAGCTAAACAATTTGAAAAGCTTGTTTCTTTTAATTTAGAAATTCAGATTTTCAAGCACTACATTAGACAATTCGTAGAAATATCAAATATATTTAATTCAAATCGAGAAAATCAAGTTTCTATAAATTCAGCTAAGCTTAAAATAAGAAGCTCTGCTAACAAAACCTGATCCAACATATTAAAAATATTCGAAACTAAATAGTTAGATAACCAATTTTGAACTTATTGCTTTACATAAACAACAATAAATATTGAAAAACGCTATAAAAGCATTAAGAATTCAGCCTTTAATACACATGTATGTACATATGTTGTATGTATTTGTTTCCCTATGCTGACCTAATTTCACACTAATAAACACATTTTTTAAAATGTAGAACTTTCGTTCACGTACAAAAATAACTTGAATTATTTATTAACTCAAAATTTTGTCAGCTCACAAAAAAGATAAATTTATTAATTGGCCTTCAAGCTTTATTTAGATACATATGTTCGTATTCGTATAGTGTACACACATACATACATACATACATACATATATGCGTTCAATTAAGCCAACGTCGAATTGTTGATGTTTGGGCAAATTTTAATTAAATGAAATCCTGAGTGCGTCGCACATTCTACGTCATTCGGCATTATGCAACGGGACTGACCCACCTCACACCCGCCCGCTATTCATCTCGCTCACACTCACTCGCTTACGCTTTTTCTGCCTCTCTCTCTACCACTCTCTTCTCTACACATTAGGCAAGCAAATTAATTTCAATTTTCATTTAACTTTTACAATCTCGACGCTTTTTCCGTTTTGTTGTTATTGTTGTTTTTGCTGTTTCTGTTTCTGTTGCTACTCTTGTTCCCCATTCTTGTTGTTGTTGTTGTTGTTGCTGTCGTTGTTGTGTTGAAACCGGCAACAACTGGCCAAAGTGCAGAGCGTGCAAACGAACAGAAAAAAATTTTAAATGTGTCACGACAGAACAACAGCAACAATACACACAAATACACATACATATATGCATATTGTAATAGAGATGCACGCGTGAGTCGCAACTTAAACCAAGCATTGGCAATGAACTTACTTATAAAGAATTTGACTACACATCAGCCTTCTTCAATTTAGTAAAATATGTTACAAATGCAAGTGCTTCAAAAATTACAATATTTATAACTTTACTAACTCCTCACAAATTGAATAATTCCTTAGTAAATCGAATGTCTTCCTGAATGACTGGAATTTGAAAACTGTTTTTACATTACATTAAGTTTGTAGGTACATGCTAATTCACTTTTAAGTCAAGTGTTCCTTTTAAAAAATTTTACTATTATTTTATTTGGCATCATTAGATTTAATTAAAAACGGCTAACCTTATGGGGAAACGTTGAGTCAAAGCAATGAGATATTTTTAGCTCAGTTTAAAAATATCGACGAGGTAGCGGTTCTTTTAGATTTTAAAATCACATATTTAGTAATCAGAGATATATAAAAAACTCTCAGGTAATTGCATTGCTGACGATATCAAGCAGGTCATTTAAGGAAATTAATGTCTATGCCTTTTAAAACTTGTTTTATTTGTAAATAAAAGCACTCCCCTAGTTATTTGATTCAAAAGTAAAACCCTAAAACAAAATTCATTTTGCTGGTGCTACTTTTAAGAAGGAAAAGGAAACTATTCTACTTTTGCACCGCACATACCTAATCATGTTAAGGCGTTAGGTTAACCTGTCTATAATTTTCAAATTATATAAATTTATTATTACTATTATAATTTTTTTAATAAAATCTCCAATTGTACAAATAATGGCTTCCTCTCAACCATAAACCTTTAATTGTTGGCTCACGCTTAAAAGCACGTTTTATGGCCATCTCTAATATGTGCATATATGCATATATGTATTCATACACGCGACAGTATTTTTTATGAGCTTCTCAAATAAAAAATAGGAATAAGAAAAGAAAAACACAAAATTTGTATTTGTTTGTTTGTTTGTCTGTCGGCCTCTGCGCTTGCAAACCACACACAAACACACACGTTTATAGTAATGAAAAAAATGTGGACGGCGGTTCATGTCTGCTTCTGTTCTTAATTTTCATTTCATGAGTTTTCCATTTCACAGTAAATCGGTTTTAAGGCAAGGGGGAAGGCAGGGGTATGGATAAGGCGTAGACTGCAACTTTATTTTGGCTTTGACATAAACATTTTGGAATTTTGTCTTGCGCTTTTAATCTTTTGATATGCAGCTGCGATGTCGTGATGTTGACAGCGTGGGCGCCTTCGCTTTGTTGTATGGCTGCCTGCCCCCCCCCCTCCCCCCTCCTCCCTTCCACACTCTGCCTCACACCACACTGTCGCCCACGCGCTCCCATCAACAGTTTCGTGTGACACTTTGTTTTTCTGTGGCACAACTAATGATTGAACTTTTTCTTTGCCTTCTATTAGTTTTGTTTTTTCCTTTCCTTTCCTTTCCTCACTCGCACGTTTCGCTTCGTCACGCATTTGTTTTATTGCATTTGGTATTTGGTTTGAGGGATGGGGGGTTTCGGGCTACGCCTGCGGTGCGTATGCGTGATATTTTATTGGCGCTAAATTAAATGAAATGGGCAATAAGTATGGTCGTACACATATGTATGTATATAGATATTGGTAATATATCGGGCGACACGTTTTCTGGACGCCCTCGGAGTGTGTGTGAATCGCCGAAGCTGGAGGCTGTGACATATGCCTGTAATTGAATTTAATGATAATGTTGGGCATAGCTCTCAACACTTTCGGGGCATGTCAAGTTGAAGGTTCAGCTTACATAATTCTAACAACATGTCTTTATTCAAGGGACGCAATCCAAAAGGCATGTATTATTTATATCCGACTGCCTTCTTAATAAATCTGCGAGTACGCAATTCGAAATATGTTGCCGTTATGTGACGAAAATGGATTATAACATTTAAACTCATTCTTGTAGTCTTGTAGATTATGTGAGATAGAAAAGTGTGCTTTCAATATATAGAAACGTTATCTTATTTATAGAGTGATAGATATAGGAAACGTACTGATAGCCATACAAAATATTTTAATCATTAAAACAGCGCTAATTTATTGTTTAATATGAAAAATATTGTAATAATTCGTTTGTTGCTTTTATTGTTGCACAATGGCAACAATTTTCTCTGGAAAAAAACAAAAATAGGATCAAATTTGTATAATAAATATTATATTGTCTGCTTTCCGATCAGGTTTCGAATAGGCACGGCTCTACAACAGCGCAGTTTAAAATACAGTACTAATTATTCA